CATATATTTCAGAGAACACTGGTCCATGAAGGACAAGAGGCTGCTCTGATGAAGAGTCTGCCCAAGGCCCCTTTCACATTCTTGTTCCTCAGGCTGTAGATGAAGGGGTTCAGCATGGGGGTCACCACAGTGTACATCACAGAGGTGTTCATGCTTCCCTGGGAAAAATGAGCAACAGCTGAACTGAGATACACCCCTAGTGCTGTTCCATAGAACAAGGAGACCACACAGGGGTGAGACCCATAGGTAGAAAATGCTTTATACCTGCTTGCAGAGGAAGACATCCTCAGTAAGGAGGAGATGATCCTAGTGTAAGAGAAGAAGATCCCGGTCACAGGAAACACACCCAGAAGAGAAGTTACCACATAGACAAGGATGTTAATGATGAATGTGTCAGAGCTCGCCACTTTAAGAACCTGACCTAGTTCACAGACGAAATGAGGGATTTCTGTGCCTGTAGAGAAAGTGATCTGCATCATCAGGAAAATTTGAATCACAGAGACACAGAAAATGATCATCCAGGACATCAGAACCAGAAGGCCACAAAATTGGTGGTTCATAATGACTGTGTAGTTTAGGGGGTAACAGATGGCCACAAAGTAGTCATAGGCCATCACAGTGAGCAGAAGATCATTCATTGCAGAAAAAAGCATTAAAAAATACACCTGAGTGAGGCACTCCCTGTAGGAGATGTCTTTGCTCTGTGCCTGGATGTTCACCAACATCTTGGGGACTGAAGAAGAGATGAAACAGATGTCCACAAAAGACAGGTTGGAGAGGAAGAAGTACATCGGGGCATGGAGATTGGAGTCAGAGCTCACAGCCAGGATAATAAGCAGATTCCCAAGCACTTCTAGGAGGTACATGGACAGAAAGAGCCCAAAGAGAAGGGGCTGCAACTCAGGATTCTCTGAGAGACCCAGGAGGAGGAACTGTGATGCTCCACTGTGGTTTTTAGTTTCCATGTCACTGGTTTATCTTCAGGGAAAGGGAAGAATTATGATATTCAATAAACATCCAC